GTCACAGAACAACTCTTCTAATGCGTATAACGAGAGTTACCTGTATATAGCACATTATAAATATGTGTGATATCAGATTTTGATCTAAAGCACCAAATTTTCGCTCGTTTGAACGAAAATAATTTGCTCTATTATATTTTATTCTCAAAAACTTTCAGATATGAAAGAGTAACGAAGTTAAATGCCGTAGAGTCACGATATAAACGGGCCAGAACAACGCTAAGTTAATGGAAAATAACATACTCGAGACTTATAAAAAGTACGAGAATGAATATCAACCGCTTTATAATTAAATTTACGATATTATTAAATTACAAAATAAAATAATTTAAATTTCTTCTGAATTTCTTTACACTTCTTTGCGGCAAAGCCACGTTAGAACAATAAAAATAAGTTAAAAATTTGTATTTATGTTTTTAAACACTCGAAAGGAAAACAGATCTGATATTTAAGTGTTTAGAGGCTAATTAATACCAAAAATACACCTTAATACAAGCCGCAGACATGGGCTGCCTCTTGCAAGTGAATATTTAAATTCATGACCAATTTCTAGACCTCCATCTGCACGTGCTTATAAAAATGACTGAACGAGGATAAGACAACGAGAAACCTCTTACGTGATAATAGTAGACTCTTGAGATGTTCCCTGCACGCTGTTTTATACGATAAAAATATTAGTCGTAAGAAGAGGATTATGAGGAAAATCTTACAAAAGATAGAAACTGTTTGTCAAGGCGTCTATTAATTAATTACAAACAAATAATATTTTTAAACAAAAACAATACCGTCAAATACTTACTTCTCGATGCCAGCTTGAAGAATTCTCGCATTTATAGAGGTCAGTACATTCTTCCTTCGTTTTCAGAGTTAAATCACCAATGCATTATGGGACGTCACGTTGTTGTAAGCTATATAGGAATTTTTTAAATAATTTGGTAGAACATCGTAAATATTGAACTAATAAGAAAATAAATGATACTGAGGAACAATACAATACTGAATCTAAAACTTCTTGACGATGGTGAAGAGTCAATTGAATAAAAATTTTCTTGGATATTATCCATCGTCTAGTAAATATAAAACGTAAAAAACGACGTTTCGGAGATGG